AAAATGAATAGAATGATGTGAAGTGTAGCAGAGTGCTTATTGAGAAAAATGATGTGCAACATGTAGGTGTTACTATGATGCTTAGCATATACAGAGCTGTAAATCCGAAACTAAGACATGCTACAAGTTGCCGAGGAAATTCAGCTGGCAAGCAGTAGTGCTTAGAAGACATCGGAAGCTGTCATTTATTGAAATAAAATCAAATTAGGTTGAATCTTGCAGTACTAGTACGTTCGTTGCATTCAAGCGTTTTCTAACATTTCTCTGCAAACCAGGTTTCCTTGGTCGGAACTGAAAGGTCTGTGGGGGTATAGATAATTCGATCGTAGTTCACCTTCAAAGTGCTAACGTTGTTTTTTCACAACGAACGGTGACATAAATATGATTTTACATCAATAGGACATTGCAAGATTTTATATACATTTCAGGCCCATAAAAGCTGTTTCAGTGTGTGTTTGTGTGTCTGTGTTTGTTTTTTTTTTTTGGGGGGGGGGGTCCAACCGAACAACAATTCTTTGACAAGAAAAAACATTCTTGAAGGAGGATCGTAAGTTAGGTTTGTTTTCTATTGCATAGCAATAGTATGTTCTTGTATTGGCAAAATTATAGGGATGAAAGGAGGGGACACGTTTAAGCAGATAAGTCTTCAATAAAGAGGTGGATTTTACCTGGGGGATGTTAAAATGTATAGCAAATAAATATAATAAAATAAAACGGATATTTGCAGAAGTAAGTTCTGTACACAAATTGTGAGATGTATTGGAAGAAAAGGAACTATACACATGGAAATATAAAAGACTTGGCTTTTTTTCCTTTTATTTTTTTAAATTCAATGATGGTACAGAGACACCAAAACAGAATAATATAATTTAGAGGAGGAAAATTTGATTCTAAAGAGGGGGGATCTGACATTATTTTTCATGTCATTGAAGGACAGATTATTTATTTCCAAGGTGATTAGGGACAGGTTTTTTTTATTTCTACCACACCAAATAAAAAAGTGGGTAGGAAAAAATAAAGAAAACATGAGAAAATTAGAGTGTGTGCGGGGCGGGGGGGGGGGGTGTTGGGGGTGTTACCATCACTCAAAGTCAAATAATTTATTTTCTTCTTAGTGGAAAATAGATTTTTTTTCAACATTTTCATGGACATATTTTTTTCTCTCCAAAATCTGCCAGCACCTATTAGAACCAATTAGTTTCCCCTCATGATTACGCATCACGAATTGAATCCTTTACTGTAGTTGTAATGTGCAAATTTACACTTTATATAATCTTGCACATGAAGAAATGAATAGTTTAGCACTTTGTGTATGTGTTTGTGTTTCTATGTGGTTGTCACAGTGAAATCAACTGCGCGGGACAGGGCTCAGGAACTTCATTGTAATGACATATAGTAAACTAGTCTATTAAATGACTCCTAATTTACGTGTAGCTGCCTTTGTATTTCTTAACTGGACTGAAGCTGGTTTTTGATCAAAACTAATGCTATCATTCTCAGTACGTGGAACACTGTAATAAAATTGACAAAGAGTGAGCTGATGAAGTAGTTAGTTTCAGCTTTGTAAATATTAACGGTGATGTTGGGCGAGAAATTCTCGCTATTAGTCAGAAAGTGCCCCTATCGGAATCCAACATAGAGGCTAGTCTCATGCCTTGTTAGCTCACCTGAGCCGAAGGTTCAAGTGAGCATTTCTGATCACTTTTTGTCCGGCGTCCGTCTGTCTGTCTGTAAACTTTTAACATTTTCGACTTCTTCTCAAAAACCACTGGGCAAATTTCAACCAAACTTGCCACAAAGTATCCTTGGGTAAAGGGGATACAAGTTTGTTCAAATGAAGGGCAACGCCCTCTTTTAAGGGGAGATAATAAAGAATTCGTGAAAAATTAAAGGCATCATTTAAAAATCTTCTTCTCAAGAACCACAGGGCCAGGAAATATGAAACTCATGTGGAAGCATCCTCAAGTAGTGAAAATTCAAGTTTGTTCAAATCATGATCCTCGGGGGTAGGGCGGGGCCACAATGGAGGATCAAAATTTTGCAAAGAAATTATATAGGAAAAACCTTTAAAAATTTGCTTGTCAAGAACAGCAAACCCATGATGAGTCATATTTATATGGAAGCATCCTCAGATAGTGTAGATTAAGGTTTCTTCAAATCATGACCCCCGGGGGGTAGGGCGGGGCCACAATGGACGATCAAAGTTTTACATAGAAATATGAAGGAAAAATCTTTAAAATCTTCCTCTCAAGAACAACAAAGCCATGATAAGTCATATTGACATGGAAGCATCTTCAGATGGTGGAAATTCAAGTTTGTTCAAATCATTACCCCCGGAGGTAGGGCGGGTCCACAATGGAGGATCAAAGTTTTACATAGAAATATAAGGGAAAAACTTTAAAAATCTTCTTCTCAAGAAGAGCAAGGCCATGACAGGTCATATGGAAGCATCCTTAGGTAATGTAGATTCAAGTTTCTTCAAATCATGACCCCCGGGGTTTGGGCGGGGCCACAATGGAGGATCAAAGTTTTACATAGAAATATGAAGGAAAAATCTTTAAAAATCTTCTTCCTAAGAACAACAAAGCCATGATAAGTCATATTGATATGGAAGCATCTTCAGATCGTGGAAATTCAAGTTTGTTCAAATCATGACCTCCGGGGGTAGGGCGGGTCCACAATGGAGGATCAAAGTTTTACATAGAAATATATATGAAAAAACTTAAAAAAATCTTCTTCTCAAGAAGAGCAAGGCCATGACAAGTCATATGAAAGCATCCTCAGGTAATGTAGATTCAAGTTTGTTCAAATCATGACCCCTGGGGGTAGGGCGGGGCCACAATGGAGGATCAAAATTTTACAAAGAAATTATATAGGAAAAACCTTTAAAAATCTTCTTCTCAAGAACAGCAAAGTCATGATGAATTATAATCACATTGAAGCATCCTCCGGTAAAGTAGATTAAAGTTTGTTCAAATAATGACCCCTGGGGGTAGGGCGGAGCCACAATGGAGGATCAAAGTTTTAGTTAGAAATATAAAGGAAAAATCTTTAAAGATCTTCTTCTCAAGAAGAGGAAAGCCATAATTAGTCATATAGATATATGGAAGCATCCTCGGGTAATATAGATTCAATTTTGTTCAAATCATGACCCCTGGGGGTAGGGCGGGGCCACAATGGAGGATTAAATTTTTATATAGAAATATATAGGAAAAATCTTTTAAAATCTTCTTCTCAAGGACAGCAAAGCCATGATGCGTCATATTTATACGAAAGCATCCTCAGGTAATGTAGATTTAATTTTGTTCAAATCATGACCCCCAGGGGTAAGGCGGGGCCACAATGGAGGATCAAATTTTTATATTGAAATATATAGGAAAAATCTTTTAAAATCTTCTTCTCAAGAACAACAAAGCCATGATAGTACAGATTTATATGGAAGCATCATCAGGTAGTGTAGATTTAAGTTTCTTCAAATCATAACCCCCGGGGGGTAGGGTGGGCCACAATGGAGGATCAAAGTTTTACACAGAATTATGAAGGAAAAATCTTTAATAATCTTCTTCTCAAGAACAGCAAAGCCATGACGAGTCATATTTATATGGAAGCATCCTCCGATAGTGTAGATTCAAGTTTGTTCAAATAATGATCCCCGGGAGTAGAGCGGGGCCACAATGGTGGATCAAAATTTTATATAGAAATATATAGGAAAAATCTTTAAAAATCTTCTTCTCTAGAGCAGCAAAGCAATGATAAGTTATATTGATATGCAAGCATCCTCAGATAGTGTAGATTCAAGTTTGTTCAAATCATGTCCCCGCGAGTAGGGTGGGGCTACAATGGAGGATAAAAGTTTTCCATAGAAATATATAGGAAAAAACCTTTAAAAATCTTCTTCTCAAGAACAGCATAGCCATGATGAGTCATATTTATATGGAAGCATCCTCCGGTAATGTAGATTCAAATTTGTTCAAATCATGACCACCGGTGGTAGGGCGGGGCCAGAATGGGGGATCAACGTTTTAGTTAGAAATATAAAGGAAAAATTTTTAAAAATCTTCTTCTCAGGAACAGCAAAGCCATGATTGGTCAGATTTATATGGAAACATCATCAGATAGTGTAGATTCAAGTTTCTTCAAATCATGACCCCCGGGGGGTAGAGTGGGGTCACAATGGAGGATCAAAATTTTACATACAAGTGTAGAAATATATAGGACAAATTTTAAAAATCTTCTTTTCAGGAACAGCAAAGCCCTGATTGATCATATTTATGTGGAAGCATCCTCAGGTAGTGTAGATTCGAATTCTATTTTGTTCAAATCATGATCCGCTGGGGTCAAAGTCTTAAATAGAAATATATATAAAATATCTTCTTCTGAAGAACTGCAAAGCCATGATTAGCCATTTTGATATGGAAGCATTCTTAGGTAGTGTAGATTCAAGTTTGTTAAGATGATGACCCCGGGGATAGGGTTGGGCCAAAATGGAGGATCAAATTTCTACAAAGGAATATATGGGATTTTTTTTAAAAAATCTTCTCAAGTACAACAAAAGCATTTGTTATACTGACATGGAAGCATCATCAGGTAGTTTAATACTGAACTGATTTGTACTTTTGCCTAACCAATGTGCTCAAGTGAGCGATGTGACCCATGTGCCTCTTGTTATGATTATAGTATAGTAGATATATATTTTTTAACAATAAAGCTGGGGAGTGCCTATGTGTGGATGAGGCCCAAATCTTGGAAGAGCAAACCACAATAGACCCCAATTCCTTTTTTGGTACACATGCACTGTATGTAGATTACATGCTAAATGTTGACATATATTTTGAGCTATGGTATAAAGTGCAATTAATTACACCCCCCCCCCCCCATAAAAACTGTCTCTACAATCTGTTTTCATTTACCTCATGTTTATGCCTACCCCTTCAGCATATGTTTGACATAAAAAAAAATGTCCTCTACTACCAGATCAGACATTCGTTTATTGGAGAATAATGTCGAGGCATTTGTTTGATCTTAGTAATAACTGTGGTACATGTACATGTAACATTCTCTATAAAAGGATAATAGATTTATTTCTTGTGGCAAAGGTGCTAATTTGTCATTTAGACTGTCAATATCCGTGTCCATTTTTTAAAAAAATTATTAAATTTTACACGTACGTTGTTAATCCAGCAACATATTCAAAAAGTGAAAATAACGCGTAAATTAATAATTTGTATTATATATCAGGTATACCTGGTGACAAAGGTCTGATTATTGGAATGTGGAACCCCGCTTCGGTATTCACAGTCACAGAAATACCTAGAAGTCCTGCGAAATATTACAACAACGCTTCGCGTCCACTAAGTCCTTCCGGAATAAAGATAAGCAGCATTTCCTCTGATTCGAAGAAAAATGTTGTATTTGCTAGCATCGAAGACTCCATTTATGTACTCCAAAATTTTTCCATCTGGCAGAATACATCAACCATGTCACTTGCATTCAAAGGAAGGTCTCCATCACTAAGTCAAATAGCATTTGATCATATTTCAAATAATTTATATTGGTGTGATTCACTGATGAAATGGATCGCAATGAAACCAGCATACATGGACAATACGATGTTTAAAGTCGTCGTATACAAAAATTTGAGGCTACCGCTCGGATTAGCTCTTGATCCCGAGGACGGGTAAAATAAATATTTATTATATTTTAAAATATTATATACTTTGTTAAGTAACTTATCTTATGTATATCATATCAGGTATATCATTACATCACATACAAATAATTCAATGAGACTTAAATCATATTAGGTTCTTGTTATAGCTTCATGAAAATAGATGTATTGTCCAATAGACAAGTAATACCAATCGTGACTTTTCATACGCTTTTAATGTGAGAGAAATTTCAATAACTGATATACTTATTCCATTTTTTAATTTTTTTTTCTTTCTATGCTTTATATCATCTTTATATTATGAAACATATCTTCACATATCTTCATATCTTCACATGCATTGAATATATCGGTACAGAATTATGTGCATGAACATGTGTGGCTACATTGTGTGTATATATATATATATATATATATATATATATATATATATATATATATATATATATATATATATATATATATATATATATATATATATATATGGGGGGGGGTGTATTGCTAGAATTTTCCATGTACTCACATAGGCTGATGTTCTTTTCTGACGATGACTCAAATTCAAGAATCGAAAAGGCCTCCATGGATGGAACAAATAGATCTGTTATAGTGCACACTGGATTGATGTGGCCAATAGCTCTTTCTGTCGACGCTACAAATAATTTACTTTACTGGGCAGATTATTACAGACACACACTTGAAGTAAGCAACTATAATGGGTCAAATAGACGAGTACTGAGACGCAATAACTACGTTCCAGTTACAGGTCTACACTATGATCAGGTATCAAATAACCGTTACGTGTTATTATAATTATAATCAACTACACAGAACTAATCAACATTTGTTTGGGCATATTATTCATTATGAGTGTTTTTGACTCACTATCCAAAACCAACCTATTTTTACATTCTCAAAAATTTGAAATAAGATAAAAATCTTAAATCTCAATTAATGTGACACTTTTTCACGCCGATTTTTTTTCTGGGTTTTGCATTTACCAAACCTACTCCATTTGCTGTTTTGGAATTGAACAGTCCAGAATGGTATATTACATGTACACGAAATGAGCCAATAAACTATCTTTTTTAAATTTCATTCATATAAAAATATCTCATGCTATAATTACTTAAAGACGAATCTTTCTTTTAGTTTTTTAATCGAAGTCATTTACTTCATTATTTAGTTAAATTTTATGCAATTCAGTTTGATTTGTGAAGATATATAAAAATAATACATATGCATTTTTGCGTAACAGTTTTAAGAGCGGCTTGGGATATTAGCTGGAATAGATAGACAAATTATCATGTAACAAGAATGGTATAGAACTTTAAGATACATATGTACATAAAGATTTGAATTCAAACCAGAGACTAAAGAAATGGTTCTGTAGGACATGCAAATAACGTCAGAAGAAAACATTTGATCTGTAAAAGATTTAAAACTTCTTAAATCGAATTTTGTATTTGAACGCTCTTTTTGACATCCAATTCATCATACTGCCTTAAAAGAGAGCATAAGTGTTTTTTTTTTTGTTTTTTTTGTTTTTTTTTTTTTAATCTCACTGTACTGTATACTCTAAAGATTGTATTTTTAAATCTAATATCATCTGATTTTCAGCATTTTTATTTAGAATATTTTGCATGCTGTGAGTGTTGAATCCAAATTATTATTTGGTGTGGACACGAAATCGGGGTCAACACTTTACGCTGTACATATAACTGAAGGCCAGCCGTTTACCGTTCACGTTTACAATGCAGAAGTCTCTAAAACATACACTGGTAAATATATATATTTTTGACAGCTAATACTATATACGAGGGCTAGCTGTTCGGAAATTATTGAGAAATTTATATTTACTTCATCAAGGGAAAATATAAATTCATGAAAATTCGTCAATCCAGAACAAATTTTACAAAAAAAAAAAGAAAAATGTGTAGTTAATAGGACTATTAGTTAAGTCAAGGTGAAATTATAAGCTTGCATACTGTCAGTAAACGTCACATCTACAGAAGATTTTCTCTCTGTTGAAACGATCGAGATGTGTTAACTCTTCTTTTTTCTGTCAACATAAAAAATACAGGTAAACTTCGTTATCTCCACATCGACGGGAACATCGGAAAATTTCGAGATGTCCCGTGTGTCGAGATATCAGAGTTGAGACTTGACGTCCAAGATTTCACTGCATAGCAAAACAGACAAGCTTATTATATGTACATGACTTTAATATAGACTGTAGCTCAACATATTTCATAATTCCCTCTATTTTTATTAAAAGTCTAATTAGTTATTTTATAAATCTTGTTTATAAAATGTGTTCTTTATTGAAATTTTTTTCTAAATTCACAAAGTTTCAGCACAAAGTTACAGCATTCGAGTGTAATTTGCCTTTCTGTCAGAACAGGATACGAAATGCGCTCTATAAACTTCGAACCGCATAAAGTCGACATCCGATATACGGAAAAAAATTGAATGCGGATTATTTTTTTCTTATTTCATTCAGGAAGAATGTACATGTACATTAATTTTTTTTTTTTACTAACGTAGTGATGTTACAGATGCATGAATTACGGCTGATTCGGACAGTCGTGTCGTTGATTGGATTGTTTCCTGTTGAATACATTTTAACTACAAAATATCATTAAAACATCTTTTAATTTCTTAGTTTGAATTATTCAGTGTGTTTGTTATTCATTGTAATTTAGTTAACTTTTTCAAAATTAAAAGTTACGTAAGGTTTCGATATAAATAACCCGGCGTCTGTACATTTAAGCAGAATCGTGCAGATTAGCAATGATATTACCCAAGCTGAACATTAAGAAATTAACTTCTCAAAGACGCCGAGGGGGCTTGGGATTCACCTACAAACACAGTCTATAGAATTAGTTAAGCAGCGTGCAGTCAAAACATGGGTGTGAAATTTTGACGACGTTGAGATACCTGGAGTCGTCCGTGCGTGACGAGCGACCTTATCTGACAAACAGTTAGGTTCAGTAGAGCAGAAAATTGCTGATGTCGACATATACCAGGTAAATTTTGCTCTTGGGACTGTGAATATACGTCGAGATAACCCGGATTGTCGACATTACCGAGGTCGACATATCAGAGTTTTTGCAAATCATTTATATAGTAAATACTGCCGGGACCGCGGAAGGACGTCGACCGTAATAAGTAAGAAATCACGTGGTGAATTATAATATTGTAAGTTATAATGTAAGAAGAAGCAGTTATTTCCAGTGGCGGATCCAGAGGTTCATGTGGGGAAAGGGGTTGAGGCCCATAGGTTCGAAAGGGGAGGGCATGGGAGGGGGTGTCCGCCTCCATAGGTGGGGGTTCGGGGGCCTCCCCCCAGAAATTTTCTTTAAAAATGACTCCAAATGGTGCATTCTCCAGCATTTTGGATTGAATAAGTTAGCTTTTGGTCATTTTTAGGTCACCTGAGTCACTCAGGTGACCTATTGCTATCCGTTTTTGTCTGTCGTCTTGCGTCGTCCGTCGTGCGTTAACTTTTGAACATTTTCAACTTCTTCACTAGAACCGCTCAACCAATTTCAACCAATTTTGGCATATAACATCTTTGGGTGAAGGGGAACAAAAATTGTGAATTTCATGATCCCTGCCCCCCTGGGGCCCCAGGGGTGGGGCTAAAACCACCAAAATTGATGGAATCTTTAAAAATCTTCTTCTTTACTCCTGGACACCAAATAGTCAAACTGTTGGCATGATTGTTATAAGCATTGGGCCCTCTACTGAAATTGTGAAATTCATGGCCCATGGGTTAGGGGTTCTGGTGCTAGGGCGGGGCTATATAGATCATATAGTGAGAGTGCATTATTTCTTTGAAAATTTTCTTCTCTTCTCCTGTGTATTATTTAAACAAACTAAGTGCATGATTATGACAAGCAATGATGCCTTTTCCAAAATTGTGAAATTCATGGCCCCTTAATCAGGGGTTCTGGTGTTAGGACGGGGCTGTATTGATTATATAATAAAAATGCATTAATTCTTTGAAAATCCTCTTCTCTGCCCCTGGGCATTATTTAAACAAACTAAGTGCATGGTTATGATGTACAAGGATGCTTTTTCCAAAATTGGAAAACTTCTTCTCTGCTCCCGGTTATAAATCATGGCCTCTAAGTCAGATGGTGTATTAGGGTGGGACTCCATTGAAAATAAAGTGAAAATGCATTAATTCTGTTAAATAATCCTGTCTGCTCCTCAGTGTTGAGCAAATAAAGAAAGTGCTTAGTTATGTTGAACAATTGTGCTTCTTACAAATTTTTTAAAACTTGCAGTCTCCAGGTTTTGGTGTTTCTCGGGTCACGGGGGGGGGGGGGGGGGGGGGGGGGCTATATTTATCATTAAAATGAAAATGTGTTACTTCTTTGAAAAACTCTAACTAAGTGCTTAGTTATGATGATGAGGGTACCTCTACCAAATTTATGAATTTCATGACCCTGGGACATGGGTTTTAGTGTTAGGGTAGGGGTGTAAATCTGTAGAGGAAATGCATTGTTTCTTTGAAAATCTCTGCTCCTTCGCATATCGACGGCAAACAGAATTAAAGTTTTAATAAGCAGGGATATTTTTACCAGTTTTTTGAACATCAGGACCATTTGGTCAAGTGTTCTGGTCTTAGTCAGGGCTTTATTAATTTGTATTCAAGTGAGAGAAGTTTTCACTTTTGATAATTAATCACTGTAAATAATGTACTTGAAAGTTAATAGAATAAGAGAATTATACAAAAAAAATTATTGAATAATACAAAAAGTACTTTCATAGTTTTAATGATCAGGTAGACTTGTAAATAATAAATAAATAAAAATGAAACAAAAATAACTTATCAAATGTTCTTCAAAGACCAAGAGAGGCCAATGTCAGAGGTTACAATGTGGGGTTAAAAGTAGTACAGAGGAACTAATAGTTTGTTAATAGTCTGCAATGTGATAGTGATAATTGGGGGATAAATTAGAATTTAATGTATGATTTGTTACTGAATACTATACTAATTATTTAATTGATTCTGATCATCCTATTTCTCTTGCTTTTTGGCAACAAAGCTTCATCTGTCAGTTTATTATACCCCCGCTCCGAAGGAGAGGGGGTATACTGTTTTACCCTTGTGTGTCTGTTTGTCTGCGTGTCCGTGTGTCTGTGTGTCCGTGTGTCCGTGCGACAGTGTGTCTGTGTGTCTGTTTGTCCGTGTGTCTGTCCGTAACAAATTTTCGTCGAAGTTTTCTCAGCAACTACTCATCACTGATGCTTGAAATTTTAACACAATCTTTATTTAGGCATGCCATATGGTTGGATTCATTTTTGTTTAAATCCGATGTCAACTTCCTGTTAATCCGTGCGTCTGTCCGTACCATTCATAACAAATTTTGGTCGCATTTTTGTCAGCACCTACTCAGCGCAGATGCTTGAAATTTTAGCACAATCTTTGTTTAGGCATGCCATGTGGACTGCTTCATTTTTGTTTAAATCTGATCTCAACTTCCTGTTTATCCGTGTGGCTGTCCATACCAAATTTCCGTCGCATATTTCTCAGCAACTACTCAGCGTAGATGCTTGACATTTTGGCACAATCTTTGTTTAGGCATGCAAAATACTGGGATTTATTATACCCCCGCTCCGAAGGAGAGGTAGGTATACTGTTTTACCCTTGTATGTCTGTCTGTCTGTGTGTGTCCGTATGTCTGTGTGTCCGTGTGTCTGTCCGTAACAAATTTTCGTCACAGTTTTCTCAGCAACTACTCATCACAGATGCTTAAAATTTTTGCACAATCTTTGTTTAGGCATGCCATATGGTTGGATTCATTTTTGTTCAAATCCGATGTCAACATCTTTTTATGTCCGTACCATACATTACAAATTTTCGTCGCATATTTCTCAGCAACTATTCAGCGTAGATGCTTGAAATTTTAGCATAATCTTTGTTTATGAATGCCAAATATCGGAATTCTTTTAAATGTGAATTAGATATCAACTTCCTGTTTATCGGTGCTTGTATCCATAACACATTTTTCGTCGCAGTTTTCACAGCAACTACTCATCAGAGATGCTTGCAATTTTAGCATACTCTTTGTTTAGGCATGCCATATTGTGGGATTCATTTTTGTTTAAATCTGATGTCAACTTCCTGTTTATCCTTGCGTCAATCCGTACCAAATTTCCGTCACAGTTTTCTTAGCAACTACTCAGTGAAGATGCTTGAAATTTTACCACAATCTTTGTTTAGGCATGCAGATTGGGGGGGGGGGGGGGGTTATTTTTGTGTGAATTCGATGTCTACATGAGAGGGTAATCGTATATTCACATCAGAGCAGGGGTATTACTAGTGAGCATTCGCTCACAGACTTCTTGTTTTATACTCTGTGGATCCTCTTAGTTGTTGTATTATACTCAGGTGACCGTTAAGGCCCTTGGGCCTCTTGTCTTCTAGTTGTTTACAAGACCGACGTACCCAAATTATCAAGAATTCGAACAAAAAATTAAAAAAAAAATTGGGATTATTTTTAACTTCCATGTAAGCATGAAAAATGAGACTTCTCTAAAAACAATTAAATTTAAAATCTGATAAAATCAGAAATATCGCCATTCGATGTATAATAATTATCTAATTCTTAATTTTAAAATGCACGGCACGTCCAATGTGTCGCATGTGGAGTTCTGAATACCATAATACGACTGATGTGCAATTTCCAAACACTTCGAAAATTTGGATTCTGTGTAGAAACCCTAATTACTCATTTTAATTACTTGACTTTACTGTTCATATAAT